CTATATATATATATATATATATATATATATATATATATATATATATATATATATATATATATATATATATATATATTATATTATATTATATTATATTTTATATATATATATAATTTAAATTTAATTTATTGCGTTTAAATTATGTATTATCAAATTTGGTACGCGTATAATGAAGAGTCGCAAATTTAGGCATCTTGATGTTTCACGTAGCGTTCGGGTATTACTTTTCAATAGAAGTAGACATAGAAGTAGACAAGGTAGTCGTTCTCATTAAATTCGCGTGCACGTACCGCGTGTGTGCCAATTAGAGAGGCGAAAACCAATTTCAGGATCAACGATCGCGCGCGCGGCACGACGACGGGCTTTAATTTATGGCTCGTTCTTCGTGATTTCGTCGTCCACCGCAATTCCCCTCCGTGCTCTCCCTAGTCGGAACCGGAAACCCGTCGACACTCGTGCTAATTTGGGTTTCGCGTGACAGCCACGATCGAGTTATTACCGGGACGAAGTCGTTTCGTGTAAGAGAGGGAGAGTTTGTCACTCTTTGCGTAAACCGCGGGACAGACTCGTGATTTCTCGAGGCACTAAGTACTCAACAGCATTAATTTATAATTGACGGAAAAGTTTATATTAAATCGATAATTTGTTGCTCGTGGAATGTCACTCCTTTACGTCGAACTGACCGCTGTGAGGAACTTTCCGATCGCGAACAAATTGCTTTGCAAATTTCGATAGTATGAATTACAAGACATCTATCAGGAAAACATGTAGTAATGCTCGAGGATAGAAAAGTTTTATCCTTTCGGATCTCAGATTCAAGTTTTGTGACTCAAAACGAACTTTTGCAAACGTTGATCGTAGCACGTTATTTTCGACAACTGCAATTAAAGTTTTACCCTCGGACAATCGACGAAAATCGCGTTCGATCGGATGAAAATATCCTCGTAAAACCGCCGTAAAATTTTGTCGCATTAATTCTTAAAGTTTGCTTCAGAATTCGCGATGATAATCTTATCGACCGGCAAACGTGTTCGGCGAATCATGCCGTGTTATCGTCGAACAGCGACGTACCGGAAGTCGTAATCGAGTTGAAAATGGACAATTATGTTCCGCGATGATTCGACTCGAGCAAATTCCGACAGATTCCCGGAGGAATCTTTTCGCAAAAGATCTTTCGGGTAGAAGCGAACAGGTCGCGATGAGTAGCACCCTAAAAGTTGAGTGGCAGCCATCTCATTACTTAAATGCGTCCGTTAGTCGGGAGAAGCTCTGGCCAAGAGAGCAGAAGTTTCCACAGTCATAATCGCCGCTAATTGACGTCGGAGTTATAAAGTTCAGTGAAATTAGCTAAATCCTTATTTGGACTGCCGTTGTTCGAATAGTCCTCTCTCTCTCTCTCTCTC